GGGAACCTGATGGGTTGAAATGAAGGGGAGCAATGCCACCATATCGGCCACTGCTGGAGAGAAGGAAATGCAGACATCTCCTTCTCCCTTCCATTCTCACTGCAAGATCCCCACCACCACTACTCTTTGACAGCATCAGATGATGATGATGATGATGATAATAATAATTTATTTATACCCCACCCATCTGGCTGGGCTTCCCCAGCCACTCTGGGTGGCTCCCAACAGAATATTAAAATACAATAGTCTATTAAACTTTAAAAGCTTCCCTAAACAGGGCTGCCTTCAGATGTCTTCTAAAAGCCTGATAGTTGTTTTTCTCTTTGACATCTGGTAGGAGGGCGTTCCACAGAGCAAGTGCCACTACCGAGAATGCCCTCTGCCTGGTTCCCTGTAATTTGGCTTCTCACAGCGAGGGAACCACCAGAAGGCCTTTGGCAGTGGACTTCAGTGTCCGGGCAGAACGAAGGGGGTGGAGACACTCCTTCAGGTATACTGAACTGAGGCCATTTAGGCCATTAAAGGTCAGCACCAACACTTTGAATTGTGCTCGGAAACGTACTCATCCTGGAATGTCCCACATTTCCTTAGGATGTCCCTATTTTCATAGGAGAAATGTTGGAGGGTATGGAGTTATCCAACCCACCAGAAGGCCCTCAGTGTCCGGGCAGAACAATGGGGGTGGAGACGCTCCTTCAGGTATACTGGACCAAGGCTGTTTGCTCATGGTGGATCCATTCTGACATGGAGTAATAAGGCTCAACCTCAACTCTATCCAGATGAATCCTAGGTGGACAGGGGTGACATCTATGTGGAACCATGGGGGCTGAGCCCCACCCCAAAAAAATTCAATGAAGGGGCCGGTCCCCCATAAAGTTCTACTGTGGTGCACGCACACAACGTGCTGACGTCATGCACACATGGTGCAAGGCATGCACACACGACGTAGTGACATTGCGTGGCCCCTCAATCATGAAGGCAAGGTGACACACCTGTAGGTGGACATAATTCAGGGATCTGGGCATCGGCTGGATCCAATGCACAGCGATATTCATTTTCCAGAATCCCCCTGGACTTCTTTTAGAGGTGTTGCCAGACTAGAACCACCCACCCACTCAAAGAAAAAACCCCATCGTTACCCAAGCACATCTCATATTTTGCAAGGGATTAAGAGCGGCATGAGATCTAATCAGTGATCATTACTGGAATTGTGAACCACTACAACCTTGAATCAGTGGCACCACCCAGGTTTGCAACTTCTTCCAAAGCTTTTATGTGGTTTATATATAGGTCACACTATTCATGCAGAAAAAACCTATCTCAGGGGGATCATGGAGAACCAAGGCCACGCCATATGTCGTTGAACTCCATCCCCTATCAGCCACAGGCATCATGGCCAAAGGCAGGGATGATGGGAGCTGGAGTCCAGAAACACAGTTTCCTCTCTTCCTGGCCTGTGTAGTCCAGCATTGTGTTCTCACAGTGGCCAACGAGATGCAGTCTGGGAAATCTGGAAACACAACATCATGAGTGCAATGGAACATTCCCAATAGTGATCTCTGGATACTTCATTCAGAGGCTTAACAAGCAAGACATTTCGAGAAAGAAGCTCGTTTATACTAGGGAACTTCCTGGATTTCCTGAGGGACAAGGGAAATTTTTGATTCACCGTGCATTTGATTGGGAATGGACTAGGATCGATGGGCCTTGTTTTGTGGATTTGCCACACCCAACTGCCCTCTTAAAGAGACTCAGGTGGTTGGGTTCAGGGGAGGAGTCGTGGTGTAATCAGATGATGCAGTCTTGCGTTAAGGGCTCTCCTTGCCAACCTACTTGGTTCTGATACTGACAACGAAAGAATACAGAGAGTAGAACCTAATCTAGTTCAACTCTGTACAGTGGTACCTCGGGTTAAGAACTTAATTAATTCCGGAGGTCCATTCTTAACCTGAAACTATTCTTAACCTGAAGCACCACTTTAGCTAATGGGGCCTCCCGCTGCCGCCGCGCCGCGGGAGCACAATTTCTGTTCTCATCCGGAAGCAAAGTTCTTAACCCAAGGTACTTTTTCTGGGTTAGCGGAGTCTGTAACCTGAAGCATCTGTAACCTGAAACATATGTAACCCGAGGTACCACTGTATACAAAATACGAGTATATTGCACACTAAATATCTCGATGCAACACATACTATAACTCAGAATAATGCAAATTTACAATACACACACAGTATAAAAATATTTATATATACAGCCTTCTCACAGAACTGAGAGAGACACTATTCCCTGATTTCTGATTTCGGGTTGGTTAGAAGACTAAGCTTATCTAATTTTAGAGCAGAAGGAAAAGTTACTTTTTTTGCAGCTGAAAGGTAATTCCTGGCAGCCTTCTGGAACAGCAGCTACAACAATAGCCTGAGGCACAAAATTGCAGGACCTCCAGCTTCCCTGCAGAAGTTGCTTTTACAATGGAAGGGTAGCATATGAGGTGGAAAAACACCACCTTTGGGCTCATCTGCACTATCTCCAAAACTGGGGGACATGTTAATTTAAGAAAAGACAACTTTCTGCTAACTAGCAGTAACATACTAAGGTTTTCAGAACAGATCACTTGGTGATTTGACAGGTAGCATGCAATTAACATATCCAGTGCTTTTTGTTCTGGCGGTATTCAAGGGTACGCAGTACTGGAACCATTTCCCCCCAAATGTTAAAAGTGTGGCACTAGCCCGGGATGGAGAGGCTGTTTTACACGCTACTTAAAATGTGCATGCCCCCAGACAAATTCAGTTTGGGGCCCAGATCAAAGGATGTGTTCCTCTCCAAATAGATACAATCAAGGGGACTCTGTACAACCCTGATAATGAGTGAAATTTCTCAACAATTGCCTATGGTTTCAGTCTTGCAGACTTCTTAAGTGGAGGTGTTTCTATGACACAACTGAGTCTTCATTTAAGACCCATATTTGTATGCCCTGTTTCTTAAATTATATTAGGCTAGTGCCTCGTTTCATCTAAGAAACACCTTTAATAAGCTCAATCATCTCCACAATTATTGTTTTCTTTTTCCGTTCCAGTAAAAGGTGTGTGAAGAAGCTGATTCACCTAATGAGACGGCTGCAGAATGTGTCTGTGTATCAGCGTAATCAAACAAAACCACCTGTTGTAGATCTCTGCTTTTGTTTCTTGCAACTAAACAAAGGTTGCTACTTTCCCCAAAGACTTCAAACAGAGGCGATAGAGTGTCATTTTCTGATCTGGGGCCCTTACACATGTCTTTTTCCTTGCACATTCAGGGTAGTTTCCACTCTCAAGAACACCCTTGCAATCACACATTCTCCTGCATTCCAGTTGATCTGCACACTCTAAACTTTCAGGATGGTCATATGGAATGAGTAGCAATCTGGGCAAGGTCTGGAGCTTCTAGAAAACACCCCGAAACTTTTCCTACCACAAATGTTCCATTAAAAAAACTGTCCCTGATGCTCTATGATTCCATGGAGCCCTGCCAATGTTTCAAGTTGAAGCTTCTTCTTTCGGACCAGGGCAGGCTAAGCACAGCAGTCAATGCCTGAACAGTCAAACTGTAAAAGTAACAGTATGATGTCACAGTGCAAATATCTTCTGATATACATAGAAATGTAAGGCTGTCATCATGCAGCCTGCATTGGAAGATTTGTAGAGAGAACGGGAGGGGGTTGGCCAGCTGAGCGAACAGGCACGTGCAAACCCCACAGATTAAATGAAAAGGGGAGGATGGATTAGATAGATAGATAGATGATCGATGAACAAAATGTTTTCAGCAGGTGTCTAAAGCAACAGCAAGGTGCCTTCCTGATAGTAATAGGCAACAGTTCCATAGCATGGTGCTGCCACACTAAAATCTTTCCAGTCTTTTGGCCATAGCAACAACCATTTATGTTCTCCAGTTGACAAATTCCCTATTGTACGTATATAGTTCAATAGAATATTATCCTCTGAAAATTGGAACTTTTTTACACGGTCATATTTCTCCCCACAATTGGTATATATACGACACTGTAAAAACATGTGTTTTAAAGAAGCATTCATTGTTTGTTTTATTTTAAAAAACTCAGTAGTTTACAAGAAGAATACATTTTAATTTCAGCAAGCCTACCAAGTTGTGTAAGTTATCTATATTTCTTCTTTTTTGCAATTTTTACTTATTGCATTTGCGTGTTAATGATAATAGCATTGTTTGCATTTCTTTTCTCAGTAGTTTATGGATTTTAGCAGAGTTTTGATTTACTGTTTTATTTCTATGCTACTTACAGGACTTTTTGATTAAACAATTTATCAATTTTGCTAAATAAATGTCACATCACCACCAGCCAGCAGGACCAAAGGTCAAGGGTGATAGGGTTGAGAATCTAGCAACCTCTAGTTCCCCATCCCTGAAAATCTTCAATGTACAGTGGTACCTCGGGATACAGATGCTTCAGGTTACAGATTCCGCTAACCCAGAAACAGTGCTTCAGATTAAGAACTTTGCTTCTGGATGAGAACAGAAATCGTGCGGTGGCGGCGTGGCGACAGTAGGAGGCCCCATTAGCTAAAGTGGTGCTTCAGGTTAAGAACAGTTTCAGGTTAAGAACGAACCTCCAGAACAAATTAGGTACTTAACCCGAGGCACCACTGTATTCTAAAACAAACTTTCAGCACAATACTCATGTGTCTACTTGGAAGTAAGCTCCATTGCGTTCAGCTGATATGGGATTCCAGCTTTATCGAGTAATCTCAGACACCCTTCCACACCACCAGCCCACACTGTTTACCTGTTTCCTTTGAGAAGGGAAGGATGGGTGAAAAACACAATGTCAAACAGGGAAGTCAAAATAATTAGGGCGCTTCAGTCAAACAGCTGACAATTAAAGATTTAATGATTAATTTTTATTTCCTGGAATTGAGCAAGATTTCCTCTATGCACGCCAACAAACCGTATAAAAAGGGCTGTCTCCCAGCAGATTGCTCCAGAAGCATCTGATACTCTGAAAGTATCTCTTCGGATCCAGCAGGAAGCCAGGTAAATTGTTCCCTGTTCATGGGTTTCTTGCTTATAGAAATACTTCTCTTCTCTGTAGGTTGTTAAATATCAGACTAACTTGATATTTTTTTCTCACCACTGAATCTTACCCAGACCGAAATGTTGAGATAAATGTCCAACTTTTCCCCTGCACAAAATTCGGGAGGAATATTCAAAACGAGTGTTTCAGTCAAACTGTGGTTTGTGTTCAGATGCCTCTCATGAATGGTCACCATTTCATGGGTGTTCTAGTCTTCATAAGAAAAGAGTCTCTGAATTTGGCATAGCTGAAATTGTTTGGAGACACAACATCCCCAAAAATATTTCCTACAGAGAAAATTTTGGGGAATTTGGGGGGGTTCAAATGGAACAGAGGGAGCTCTCCCCTACAGAGTCAGATCGCTGGTCAACCTAGCTCAGTACTGTCTACATTCACCAACAAGTGTTCTCCAGGATTTCAAACCGGGCCCTTCCCAGTCCTATCATCAGATGCTGGTGATTGAACGTGAAATCTTCTGCATGGAAAAAAAATAATATGATGAGCCACTTGAGTTATGGGAATTCAATAATTCTTCCTGCCCTACCTGGAGATCCTGGGGATTGAAACTAGGAGTTTCTGTATGCAAAGCAGATGCTCAGCCACTGAGCTATGGCCCCTTCCTCAAGTGGGCACATTCTCGTTATGCAATGGAAGAGATGCAGTAGAAGGAAAGCAACATGCTTTGAGAAGGTTGATGCAATGTATTGCAGAGGCATTCATTCTTGCCATGGAATCCCACCACACGGGAGATCAGTTGCAGATTTAGGCAACAGTGTCCTTGCTATACCAGGTTGCCTATGATAGACCTCCAGTTTCAGAAGCAGGGGAGCCTCTGAATGCCAGGGCTGGGAAACAGCCATATAGAGAGTGCTGTTTCAACAAGGTCTCCTTATTAGCTTCCCATTGGGTCCTCTCGCTGGCCACTGTGAGAACAGGATGCTAGACTGGATGAGCCTTTGGTCAGATGTACAACTAAGATCAGGAGCTTGGGCCAATTTTCTCTCTTCCCACCCCTCTCTCTGATAGACATATAGCCACTGGTGGGAGATGCCAGAGACAAAAGAGGGAGGGGTAATAAATGTAAATGACACCTTTTCTGCAGTGGGCAAATTTCTGCATGCAATTGCACACTCCTCTGTCTCTTCCTTTCAGACAAGTGAGAGGATTTGACAGATTTCAAGAACACCTTCCAGGCAGGCCAAAAAAAGGGACTTGAAGCAGGGTCAGGGTCAGTTGTGAATTGTGCAGAAGAAGGGGTGTGGCTGTCAAGAAGGATGTGTGACTTGGGAAGAGTTCTGGGAGCTAGGTAGAGGGGCCTGGAGTTGGCACCTGGGTCTGGGTCTGTTTTAATCCAATAACAGTAGATTATAATCGCTGCATCCAAATGTCATTTCAGATCTACCCTCCCTGCTCCAACATGTCTTTCCTGAATGACAGTATGCTGTTGGAAGACTTCTATGAGCCAGAAATGGATGCATTCTCCAGCTTTGACTCCTTGTCTTATCAGTATCCAGGCTGCTACCCACAACGTCCACAGTTTCCTGGCCGGAGTTGGGGATGTCCTCGGGGGTATCGCCCCATCACAGGGTGCATCCCCTGCTATCCTGGTCTGCCGTGTCCTCCAGGGTACCGTGTCATAAGGGTTTGTGTCCCTTTTGGCCGACCTTACTACCAAGGAAAAGGCTGGCCATGTAAATCCGAGACACAACATTGACGGAACATCCAAGAAAGAAGACTCAAGATTCTGATCCTTGGCTGAATGAATGAATGTGGTATTCAGAAATGCTGAGTGCTCCAGAATCCCCACTGTGGAACCTGTGGGATTTGTGAGGCCTCAGCACTTCTCTTACCAATCCAGATGCTGCTTTTACTTTACTCCTTTGAGTTTTTCCTATCTTGGCATACTTATCTTAAGAGCAGGCTCCTGTTTCCCAGCCAAATCTATCACCTTCTATTCCACCCATTGCTGATGAATCAGGACCCTCTACCACAGCTACTTCAACTATGAAAGATACTAAGTCAACATGGCCAAAGTGAAGACTGGTGGTCAACCCTGTTGGCTTAGCCTACAATGATTTATCAGCTTTGTCTTTGTGATGTCTACATGTCAACATGTCTGATTATTGTTTTTTCAGTGTTCCCTCTTGCATTTATCTCCATCTGCCCTGAGTCATTTCCACTGACTCCTTCCTTCATTTTCTCATTAAAGTTTTCAGCATATCATAGAAAGATTCTGTTCGAGTTTTCTTTTCCTTCCTTTCACTTCATCCTCTGTCACAAGGTAACCAGTGCGGCATCTTCCAAAGGTTGCTGGTCCAAAGGTCAGGGATGAAGGGGTTTGGAGCCCCACAACATCTGGGGGGGCAACACATTGCCTACCCCTGCTCTATGACAAGCACAACTAACCCCCTTATCCTGGTAGCCATTGTCATCACATATTCTGGCAGCAGATTCCCAAGTTTATTCATTGAAGAACTAGCTCCTTTTGTGGTTCCTAAATCTGCTAAGATGGGCAAGATACCAGACCACAGAACTAACCCTTCTGCTCAATCACTTCTGATAGCCTCAGTGCCAATCCCTTCCCTTGAGAGAGGGAATAAGTTCTAGCACATGCCTAAAAAGGCAAAAAGGTAAAGGACCCCTGACAGTTAAGTCCAGTTGCAGATGACTCTGGGGTTGCAGCGCTCATCTGACTTTACAGGCCAAGGAAGCCGGCGTTTGTCCACAGACAGTTTTTCTGAGTCATGTGGCCAGCATGACTAAGCCACTTCTGGTGCAACAGAACACCGAAACCAGAGCAGTGCACAGAAACGCCCTTTACCTTCCTGCCAGAGCGGTACCTATTTATCTACTTGCACTTTTTTTGGCATGCTTTCAAACTGCTAGGTCAGCAGGAGCTGGGACTGAGCAATGGGAGCTCACCCCGTCATGGGGATTCGAACAGCCGACCTTCTGATCAGCAAGCCCAAGAGGCTCAGTGGTTTAGACCACAGCACCACCCGCGTCCCTAGCTCATGCCTACTGTATCTCTATCTTTGGCCAAGTCAGGTTGAACAAACAGAGGGTCCCTAGTTAGACAGGATTCAATCACATCACATGAAAATCCAGCAGTTCAATTAAGGTTGGTTTGGTGCTCTCCCACAGCCATAGGTGTCAACTCCCTGGGGCCCTGGGTGCCCGAGCACCCCCAAAATTCCTCGTGAAGTAGACGAGCCCCACAAATTTCAGCAACAGAGCCATGCACACTGCATGGCACCCATGCCCCTGGGCACCCACGGTCGTGGCATCAAGTTGGCACTCCTGCCTACATCAGACTTGGGAAAAAATGGATTTTTCTGATAAGGTGGTGGCTTATCAGTGGTGACTGGTATCCACTGAAACTGGCATTATGGGAGTGGGAGCCTTAACTAAGAACAAGCAGAACCAGCTAACTCTAGTTTAGTCCCCACCCTCCTCTTGCTGAGTTTTAGAAGAGCAACACTGAGACTAAGGAGAAGGAAGGTTGGCAGGCACTACCACCACCTGGAATGGTTCCTGGTAAGAAGGCAAGCATGTAGGTGGGGATTGGCTGAGTAGCAGGCATCCAGGGAGCCAGTGGTGTAGTGGTTAAGAGCAGTGGACTCGTAATCTGGTGAACCGGGTTCATGTCTCCGCTCCTCCACATGCATCTGCTGGGTGACCTCGGGCAAGTCACACTTCTCTGAAGTCTCTCAGCCCCACTCACCTCACAGAGTGTTTGTTGTGGGGGAGGAAGGGAAAGGAGAATGTTAGCTGCTTTGAGACTCCTTAGGGTAGTGATAAAGCGGGATATCAAATCCAAACTCCTCCTCTTCTTCTTCTTCTTCTTCTTCTTCTTCTTCTTCTTCTTCTTCTTCTTCTTCCTCCTCCTCCTCCTCCTCCTCCTCCTCCTCCTCCAAAGGGAACAGCAGTGAGACTAAAAGGCAAATAAGGGGCAGAGGGGTGAGGTTTTGTGACATGGGTAGGTGGGGCTTTGAAGGCAGAGGGGGCGGGGATGAAATAACAGTAGAACCGTGATTTGTTAAAAGCATGCCACCAGGCATAGCATAAAGCTGGATTTTTGCTTTGCATAAATTGATATGTCATCCAACCAGCTGTTTTGAGACAGTGCAGATGAGGCCAAAGAGATGGATTTTCTCCCGCATATGCTACCATTCCAATGTAAGAGGAACTTCTCCCTCTGCTGGAAAGCTGGAGGTCCTGCAATTTCCCGGCTCGCTCTTTTGACCTCCACTTCATTCCTATGAGATCTTTCAGCAAGGGTGCCTCAGGTCATTGTTATAGCTTGCTGTTCCATAGGCTTGTCAGGAATTGCCTGTCAGTCTATGAGGATTCCATTTGAAGGGCAGCTACAGACTGATTCTCTCCCCACATGCACCACTCCCTTGTTGTAACAGCAGCATCTCCCTCTGCTGACAGGCTGAGCCTAATGCATCTTACCAGGTCACTATTTTGACTCCAGTTGGGACTACTATTCTCATCACCCCTGACCACTGGTCCTGCTAGCTAGGGATGGTCATTTTAGACTCACAGCTGTCCATGGAGGCGCAGGTCAATTCTGTGTCCAAGGCAGTTGTTTACCAGCTCCATCTGGTACGCAGGCTGAGACCCTACCTGCCATGGACTGTCTCGCCAGAGTGGTGCATGCTCTAGTTATCTCTCGCTTGGACTACTGCAATGCGCTCTATGTGGGGCTACCTTTGAAGGTGACCCAGAAACTGCAACTAATCCAGAATGCGGCAGCTAGACTGGTGACTGGGAGCGGCCGCTGAGACCACATAACACCGGTCTTGAAAGACCTACATTGGCTCCCAGTACGTTTCCGAGCACAATTCAAAGTGTTGGTGCTGACCTTTAAAGCCCTAAACAGCCTCGGTCCAGTAGACCTGAAGGAGCATCTCCACCCGGACACTGAGGTCCAGCTCCGAGGGCCTATTGACTATTCCCTCACTGCAAGAAGCCAAGTTACAGGGAACCAGGCAGAGGGCCTTCTCGGTAGTGGCGCCCTCCCTGTGGAACACCCTCCCACCAGATGTCAAAGAGAACAACAACTACCAGACTTTCAGAAGACATCTGAAGGCAGCCCTGTTTAGGGAAGCTTTTAATGTTTGATGCATTACTATATTTTAATATTTTGTTGAAAGCCGCCCAGAGTGGCTGGGGAAGCCCAGCCAGATGGGTGGGGTATAAATAATAAATTATTATTATTATTATGATGATGATGATGATGATGATGATGATGATGATGGAATGGTGGGAGTTGTAGTCCAAAAAGAGCTGGAGATGCAAATTTGGGAAACATGGTACTAGGGGCTCTGTCCCCACTCACTCCATTTCCCAACCCTTTTCCCTCTAGTATTCTGTCCATAAAGACTCAAACAAATGAACCTGTCACTCTCCAGAGGTTCTTGAACTCATACAACCCAGGTGGCAAGCATGGTCAACAGTGGGAGATGATATGAGTTACGGTCCAGCAATATCTGGAGGGGCAAAAGTTCTCTATCCCTGACAGAGGGAGGGTGTGGCAGGCAGAGTCAGCAGGAAGGGAGAATGCATGAAGCATTAACAAAGAATCACAACTATATGTTATCATCATCATTACTCATCTGTTGAAAGACTTGCCTACTGTCATCCATGCTTCAGTAGCCTGCGGGATTGATAGCTATCATGTACTCTCAACACAGCTGCATCTGGAGGCAACTTTGAAAACTACCGCTCCTGCTGTTCAGTTTTTGGCAGGCGTGGGCAGATAAGTACACAGCTCACCTGTTTTGGAGCAACTGCACTGGACCTGGTTCAAAATATTGGTTATTTTTCAAGGGCTGTGTCTATTCCTAGGCAACCTTCCGGGGTGGAGGTGGGGTCATATGTCAGCGGTGGGCAGTGCCAGTGAAAAGATGGAGCAGAGCAACTAATGTAAATTTTCTTTTTGTGCCAAAGGCTAATATTTACACATGCTCACACATCCTTCTCTGTCCTCCATCCAGACCAGCAAGAGGAAACATCAGAGTCGAAGCACTCATTCTAGTTTGAGAAAATCATCCAAGCAGGACTAGTGAGGGGGGTAGTCTGAGGATTCTTGAGAGCAAGAGTGAGGGGCCACATTCACCCCTCAAGCCTCATGTTCCCCACCCCAAATTTAAAGCGCTGAAGTCCTGATTACTGCTACGGTTGCCATATTTTGAAAAGCAAAAAAGAGGACACATTTACCAACTTCTACTTTTAACTATGGACGCAGGTGGCACTATGGGTTAAACCACAGAGCCTAGGGCTTGCCGATCAGAAGGCCGGCGGTTCAAATTCCCACGACGGGTGAGCTGCCGTTGCTCGGTCCCTGCTCCTGCCAACCTAGCAGTTCGAAAGCACAAAGTGCAAGTAGATAAATAGGTACCACTCTGGCGGGAAGGTAAACGACATTTCCATGCGCTGCTCTGGTTCACCAGAAGTGGCTTAGTCATGCTGGCCACATGACCCAGAAGCTGTATGCCGGCTCCCTCGGCCAATAAAGCAAGATGAGCGCCGCAACCCCAGAGTCGGTCACAACTGGACCTAATGGTCAGGGGTCCTTTTACCTTTACCTTACTTTTAACTATGGATCGCTATGATGACTCTCATTTTACATACCCATGAAAAAGAGGTGGTGTCCTGGAAAAAGAGGACATATGCTCTTGTATCAGCATCTCCCCCCCCCCTTCCTAGCATATGAAATCTTCTGCTGAGAGCTTGCTCCATCTTAAATGGAGGTGAGCTCAGCTTCCTTCACCAGGAGCAAGGACTTATCCATCACTCGACTGGATACCTCCTTCAGTCTGCTTCAGTCCAGCTACAAAGCTTTCCTTATCTAGTCCATCTGCAACTGTCTTCAACCACTGGCAGATTTTGGGCCCTCCAATTTCAGATCCTCCATCCCAGTTTCTGATTCGATCCCAAAATGTCCTGCTTTTTCTTAGGACATCCCTATTTGCATCTGACAAATGTTGGGAGGATATGGAGTGATGCGACACAAGTCAAGGAGATAAGTAGCTAGACAACCTTTACAACAGTGTTTCCCAACCTTGGGACTGCAGCTGTTTTTGAAATACAACTCCCATCATGCCTAGCTAGCAAGACCAGTGGTCAGGAATCCATTATAGACTTATCTGTGGCTTCATTATCTCCTGGAATGCAAGTTGTTGTACCAAACCAAGTTGTGCTCA